TAGAGTTCCTATCTATTATCCGTTTATCCATTTATCTATTGGATATCCAGATCTAAATTTATTCGGATATCCGTTTTACTAATGATATCCGGATAATTATCCGAATATTTGTCGGATTATCCGGATATCAATAGTAAATGGATATCCGGATAAATTCAGATATGGATAAATGGATGACGGATTTATCCGGATTGGACCTCTAATAACCAGCAAGACAACATGGCACAGAAGCGATTAAATCCATACTGCAATTACTACAACTACAGTAACACAACTTTAACAAAAATACTACTGCTAAAATAATATATGCCAAAATTGATGAAATCTATGATGCAATTATCCGAACTACAACAACCTGACTTCAACAAAGTGACGCTAACAAAATAAGCGATGAAATCCACAATGCAATTCCCTAATTATAGCAACCTGACTTCAACAAAAACATCAATGTATTAAAAGCAACAAAATCCACCGGCAATTGCTCTAACTACAACAACACAACTCCAATGCGATAACTCCAACTACGACAACTCAATACAGTGGCTCTAAAAATAGCAACTTCGAATAGAGTGATTAATTGTAGCCTAAAAAAAAAAGACTAATTAAATACTAAAATACAGAAAAAGAAAGCAAAAAAAAAGCTGATGAACATTATCGATCATCAACTATTTATATCCCCGTGATCAGGGGTGCACTATGGTGCATGGTGCACCAAATTATAATTTTATTTTAAAAATTGGTAAAATTTTATTTTGGCGAAGTTATATTTTTAAAATATGCAAAGATAACAAAGCTGTAATTTGCCAGTTAGAGCAAAAAATTTCTTCTTTTCATGCTCTATATAATCGCAGAATTTAATTTTAAGTTAATATGTAGATTGAAAAACATCAAAGTTGCAAAGTTCATAGTAATTTCATATGTTTTTTATTATAATTTTATATGTAAAAAATTTACAACGTTAAAAATTTTCGAAATTAAATTGGTAAAATAATACATGTAACTCTAATTACAGTTTGATTTACTGGATTTATAAACTGTTCATTGACGTGTTAGTAATCTATACGTAAAAATTTAATAGATTTAATGATAATATTGTTAAAATTAATTGAATTTTTTTTTTATCGTTAATCACCATATCGATATACCGTGGTACAAATCATTTTAATTGTATCAAGCCTGCGCCATCTTTTACTATTTAAATAATTTTAAGGGGTTATAATGTAAGGATAACAATGGATCAGGTGCTATTCTGTAAGTACTTTGCCGATTATTAGGCCGATTATTAGTGCGAACATTCTTTAGAATTGCGAATCTTTAAAACTTTGCAAAAAAAGGAATATAGACCTTCCGTAGAAAAGAAGAAAAAAAAAATAAAGTCCTGGTAAATTTTGAATATTCGTTGAGGAGGTACAATTTTTGATGTCTGTGTATGTACGTACGTATGTAGATAGGAGTAATCCATTTTGTATAACAAACTTTTTTTTCTCCACAACCATTGATTCGTTAACTCTATATATATATAGAATTACAATATTTCCAATTGTAAAAAATTATATTAGTCATAAAAACCAATTCATAAAAAAATTGTACGTAGATTTAATGACCCTAGCATCACCAACCTAAAAAATTTCAGGTTAGGGTTAGGGTTTGGGAGATTTTTATTTTTATTCTATGTTACACCTGTTCTTGACAGAAAGCGAAATTTTTTAGGTTGGTAACGCTAGGAGGTTAAACAAAACAATTACAGTATAACTTCTATACGTATAGTTATATTCAAATATATATATATATATATATATATATATATATATTATGATTAAGACTCTAAGGAATACATTTCAATGGGGTCCACATGACCTAAATTTGCGAAAGAAAGGTATACTTTGAAGGAAAGTATAGACGAAAAAAAACAAAAGCAGCATCATTTAAAGACTAAACCCTAACGCTAAGACCTATCGCTATGATTAAAGATCATGCAACTTTGAGAATCGACTGTATAATATGCACGATACAATGATGACAATCCTCGTGCCACATACATGCGAAATTACATCAAATTTTAAACATATATGGGTAAATAAATTGTACATGTGTAAGGGTAAATTATAAAAAATTACTGTATATATATATATATATATTCGATATATAAATAAATATAAATATGTATAGCGATAAGTTTCATATTCTTTTCTAGTAAAAACAATGAATTCTTATACTGTAGGTACAAATCTCGAGACAGTGGTCCAAAGTTCACCTCGTCAAGATGACGTGATAACTTCAAAGAAATTTCTTAAAATTGATATGCACACGTAAGTAAACTATATTTACATTTTTAAGATAGTTATCCTTTTTTAAACAAACATTTTTTTTTGGTTTGTCATTTGAAAAAAGACATATACTTCCAAAGCATTGGCCTGATCTTAAAAAAAAGTATGGATATGGCGGATGGGTACAGCTGGATCATCATGAACCGGTAATCTTTTGAAAATTTTACCAGTGTTAAGCAATATTTTACGTAATATTTATACAATATGCTTTTTTTTAGGGTAAAGCGAGAATGATTATTGATGGGAAAAATTTTCGAGAAATTCAATGTAATTGTTGGTCTGCGGATGAGAGAGTACGAGAATGTAATAGTACTGGTGTTGATGTGCAGGTATATTCTTTTTTAATTAATAAAATTTTTACATATTTTGCATTTTGCAGTCTTATTCACATATTATTTATCTATTCAAGGTTCTTTCTACAGTTCCTGTGATGTTTTCATATTCTGCAAAACCTCAACATACCCTTGATTTGGCACGTTATCTAAATGATCACATTGCACAAGTATGCGCCGAAGATCCAAAGCGCTTTATTGGACTTGGTACACTTCCAATGCAATCGCCTGAATTGGCTGTGCAGGAACTTAAAAGATGTATTAATGAACTTGGCCTTGTTGGCATCCAAATTGGAAGTCACGTTAATGAATGGAATCTGGATTCACCTGAATTGGATCCTATTTGGGAGGTTGGTTTCTTTTATACCATGACTGTTAATTCCACCTTTTTTTTTTTTTTTTTTTTTTTTGAGGTTAAACATAATTCTCACGATCAGGCGTGTGATGAACTTAAAGTTCCGGTGTTTGTTCATCCGTGGGTGAGATATTTCAATGGTGCTTAGTAAATATTAATTTTCCGTTAAAAATTCTTCATTTATCTGAGGCGTGAATTTCTAGGACATGGAAAATAAGGGTCGAATGGAAAAATACTGGTTTCCATGGTAAATATAAAATTTATCCAATATTTGTTTTTAATAATATTCTAATTAATTTATATTAATTTATTTTATTTATTCTTTTAAATTATTTTCAAAAAGGCTTATCGGAATGGTAAATTTTATTTAATAATCCTGCAAACACATCTAAACACATCTAAAATCTAAATAATGTATATTTTTTAAATAGCCCTGTGAAACAACAATTGCAATTTGTTCATTGATATTTGGGGGCGTCCTTGAACGTTATCCTAATCTTAAAGTATCTTTCGCTCATGGAGGTGGATCTTTTCCAGCTACGGTAGGACGTATTGTGCATGGTTTTAATGTTCGACCTGACTTATGTGCTATAAAGATAAAAAAGAGTCCTCTGTATGTACACCAATTTCTTATAATTCACTTCTTGACAGTAAACTTACTTTTGTTTGCGTTTCACTTAAAGGGAATATATTAATCGTATTTATGTTGATTCGCTCGTACATGATGAGGATACACTTCAATTTCTAATTAAGAAGATAGGTATAGATAAAATAATGTTAGGTAGCGATTATCCTTTTCCACTTGGAGAACATCATCCCGGAAAGTTGATTGAAGGATGTGATTGGTTAAGTGACGAAGATAAGGAAAAATTATTAAGTGGAAATGTTATAAAATTTTTAGGAATAGAACATAAATTTGATAAAGAGAAAAATAATTTGATTGTGAATAATTGATAAGATTTACATATCATGCAATTAATGAGGCTATATAACAATTGTAATTTGTACAATAAATAATTTACAGTTATTACTCAATTTAAGTTTCTTCTATCGCTTTTCATTAAACTTCTGATAACATTCTTTTGAGAGCAGACATGTCATGGATTTCCTTTTTGAAAAGCCAAATATAGTAATTCCATGTGATTTCGAAAACATTCAAAAATACAATTATTTTATATACCTTGTTTGATTTAGCTAAGAGCTTTTGAGTTTGCCTTTGACCCTTTACAAAATGTTCCAATGATTCGTTTATTTCTGTTTCATCGGTAGTATCTAAAATGAGAGATAAGAGTTATTTATTTTACAATAAATAATAGATAGAAAAAGTAGAAGAGAATTATTCTTACAAATTCGTTTTAAATCGTTATCTAATTCGCGACGAAATCTTTGTGATTGTGTGTGGATCTTTGCTAGGTGATCTAACGTTTCGGTTGTAACTGACTTTTTTTTTTTAAAAAAAAAAAAATAAGCATATTAGTCATATATTAGTCATATATTAGTCATATATTAGTCATTTTCAATCAATACCAATTTTATATACCTGATATTTTTCAAATCCAAGTTTTAAATTTTTAATACAAGCATCTTCATAGTTCAATTTTTCATCCATTTTTTTCATTACAGAGAAAGCGATACCTTTCCTATAAGAAAAAAATATAGTGATCGTCTATTTTAATAAGAAATCACGTATGATCCTATGACAGTAAGGAACTTACATTTCGGAAATCCAAACATTAATGATACCGTTTTCACCATTTATTAATTCCATTGCTTCCTGCAATCTTGCTTCTTGTTCTCTTTCGAATTTGTTAAAACGTGAATTAGACTTTTTACTAGTTCTAGCTATAAAAGGTTATTAGTCATGTGATTTTGGAATTTTAAATTAATCTTGGAGAAAAAAAAAATCAATAAAAATATAATAAAAATAAGCATACTTTGAAGAAGCCCGATCAGATCTTCCATGTCTTGACTCCTTAATTAAAATAAATGATAGATTAACGGTTAACATTGAAAGAATTTAAAAATAAAGTATACCCCTGAAGATTTAGAGATAAAAAAATTCTTTTGCAATCAAATCAAATCAAATTACAAAACTATAGTACTAGATTGAATCTTAAACCTTTCAGTGTATACTCAAATTTTATAAGAAAAAGAAGTAAAAAAAAAAAAAAAACTAAACCCGTCATTCGAATTAGTGTTTATAGTGACATTATCTTCAACATCGATATCATCTCGATTATCATCACTCTGATAAAGTTCATCATCAGAATCATGTTTTTCATGCTTTCTAAATGAATCATTTTTAGTAGTCTTTCTTGAACGAGATTTTCCGTTGGTAATGGATTTCTTTGTGGTCAGTACTGCGCCAACATTTGACTTTCGTCCACGTGCCTTTGCAACGGTACTCCCTAAATTCAGTAAGTATAAGCTTAATAAAAAAAAAATAAAATAATAATTGCAGCAAAATGATGAATACAAACCGGCTTGAGCAGAAGTTCTTTTTGTGATCGCTGCAGTTGTTCCATTATTAGTAGTTCGTTGTTTGACCATTTTAAATTATTTGCGTATCGGTATGATTAAAAAAAATAAATATGTATATATGTATATAATTTTTTAAAATGATAAAAAAAATTATTATATCAGATATTCAGATATTTATTTATTTTGAATCGAAAGTAAAAGTGTAAGAAATAAAAACAGTGTTATAAGCAAGAGAGATGATTTATTATTATTATTTTTTTCTTGTGAATGACGTAACTAAGCATCGTGATTAGTGATTAAAATTTTACTATCAATAAAATTATATCAATTTTGTATATCGAAATTGAGTAATTCCTGGTGTTTTGCGAACGATTATCTAACCGACCGGATCAAAAATTTAGCTTACCCGATTTTCTTAGTTATATTAATAATCGTGATATGGTGATAGTAATTAACGTTTAAGACGCAATAAATAATCTTAATTTCGTTATCGGTCATTGTCGTTATAGTTGCTTTTTTTTTTTTTTTTTTTTTAAATTAATGCGTATTACAATCGGAATTGGGAAATGTTCTCATATCAACTTTGTAACACCTATTCACCAGTTCTCTACTCATGATCTCGTTAATGACCAGACCAATTATCTTAAGCATTCACCCTTTTTTTTTTTCTTTAATAGAATTCCTCTTTTACAATTCCTTATTCTCTTATTTTGTCGTGAGCTTTTATCTTTAATTTAATTTATTTATTTAGATGAACAATAGAAAGAAAATATGTATGTTTTATTTCGAAAAAAGAAAAAAAAAAATTCACTAAAATTAATTTATATGGTTAGACTAATTTATACAATGAATTTATAATTTTATTGAATTATTTATTCATAAAAGCTTTATAATAACATATTCGGCAATTTAATATTCCCCAATCAAACTTTCATCCATATATGGATACTGTTGACACTCACATGACAAAAATTTTTCTCAAACTCGAAAAAATTTCCCATAAAAAATTTATTTGAAAACAGGAGGGCTATTTATTATTTTTACATTGTTAACATTAATTACATATTCAGTTTCAATCCAAAGCCCACATGGAAGAAAAAGAAAAGATTGTAAGACCAGGCTAGATTCTACTAGACTGGACTAAAAAAAATTATTAGATCTTCGAAGTAATTCGAAATATATATATGTATATATGTATAAAGGGAAAGTGGTGTGTATAAAAATGAAAGATGTGACCAAGCCATAATATGAGGAATCTAAAATGAATCCTAATAAAACAAAAGGGTCAAATATTATATACAAAAGGGTAGAAAACTATTCTACCAGTCTAAAAATGTGAATTATTTTATTGGGAATTTTAACTTGGTCGTTGGAAAAAAAAAAAAAAGCAAAAAAAAAAACAAAAAAACTAAAAAAAAAAAAGGGGAATAATAAACAAGAGAAATATTGTAGCAATGTAATATAAAACAACCAAAAAACGAAATGAATAAGCATAGGCGTATTAGTTGCATAATGCTATATGAATTGTCCGAAATAATAATTATAATAATTAACTCGCGCCTTGCTATAGTAATCGCTTTGGTGCATTAAAATATAAGAGAGAGTAATATACAAGGGAATAGGGGATGATTAATGTTGTTTTATACAAGCAAGATCAACGAGGATTTGCGCAGCCTAAAGTTTTAAAAAAAAAAGATATTAGTGTTAATATCATTATACTAATCATTATACTAATCATTATACTAATCATTATACTAATCATTATACTAATCATTATACTAATCATTATATTATTCATTATAATAATCCATTATACTAATATGAATTTAAAAAATCAATCCAAAAAGCTACTGTTGAGCTTTAAAAGTAGTAAGAAACATAAAAGTTGAAAGAGTAAACTAACCTCCATCATCTGAACTTGCTGGTGTTTAGTTAAGTTGAATTTGAGACACAGTTCCCAGCTTTCGTGGTGTTCCCACAAGTGCTATAAAGTAAAGAAAAGGTCAAAAGTTAGCGTTATTTTAAACGAGGTAATAGTAGTAAAAAAAAGTTTGGCAAATAGTATAGTTCGAAATTGTATAGAACATACTTTAACCAAACAGTTTCTATGCTTATACCTCTTACTACAAACGTGGCAAGTGTAGGTTGTTTTAGAAGCCGAAGGAGTAGGACTGTGCTCTTTTTGGTCGTCGGAAGAGATGCTTTGAGCACTTTCTTCTTCCTTTACCGCTAGGCTTTGAGTTTTTTCAATAGCCTGACTGGGTTGTTCATCTATAAGAAGGTAGACTTTAGGCAATTTGTATGATTTGGTAAAGTTATTGAATAAACCTTTTTCAAACCTAAAGACTGTTGTGGAAACCTTCCGTTAATGAGAGGTTCACCCAAGTTAGGGAAGTATTGAACAGTTTTTGTTTCAGTATTAACGGTGAAGGAATTCATAGTTTTATGTCGAGAAAAGTTCTTGGAAAAGGTTGATAAGAAAAAATTTTCGGTTTTTATAAGACACAAAATTTTTTACTTTGTAATAAAACGGTTTCACCAAGCGCAGCGAGGTAAAAGTTTACGTACAAGTCAAAAAATTTAAAATTCTAAAAAAAAAAAGAAAAAAAGCGTTTAAATGAGGTAAAGGAAGAAGAAAATGTTGATAACGGAAAAAAGAATATAAAATTACAAGGGAGGAGAAACAAATTATATAATGAAATACAATAATGATTCGAAAAACTTCAACAAAAGATAATTCTTGAAGAAAAAAAAAAACACGGCTTGAAAGTTTTGTACATAATAGGCCTTTTTATAAAATAAAAATTTTTTTTTGTAAGATATATTACGTATAACCTTATCTTTACCTTATCGACCAATAAGCTTTAATAAACTGAATTTTTTTATAAAATCATGTGATATGGATCCCTGGAACAAATAATGATTGGATAAAAAAAGGTGACAAATGAAATGACAGATTTGTTTGTTTAAAAAATGTGCACGGGGACACTAATTAGTCTGTTGATCCGCAGCGACCAATAAAGGATAAATGTAAATTGAGTACAAGTTAAAGTACAAGTTGAGAACATGAAATTATATCAAAAAAAAATTTGTCATAAGAGGATCGTATGACGTTACTGAAGCATGCACCCGCCTACTTTTTGTATCCATTCTCTTTTTTTAGTCATTGTCTCGTACATAGTGATTTCTGTTTTAGTCACTCTATCGTGTCACTTTCCATGATATAAGGATTACCCGATTATCTAAAAATTTTTAAAACGCCCATATCACTATTTTGGGGTTACTTCCCACGCTTTGACAAAGAAAACAAAAGCCGAGAATGAGTCATAGATGGGATAGAATCGTATAGGTGACAATCATTAATAAAGGTGATTTAAGAAGTGATATGAAATTTTTCTTAACTTCTTTAGGTATCAAAGAAATAACAGATGAATGCTTTTTTAAAAGATTCTGATTTCTCTACGTAGTACGTAAAATGGTTTATTATTCTCTTTCCAATTTATTTGTTTGTAGTACACAAATCATTTCCTTACAAAGAAATTATTTATCGTTATTACGTATTATAGATTATTAGTGAACATAAAATATTTCTATCACCAAAAATTATCAAATTTGGACTTTAATGAAATATTCTCAAAGTTTTATTTGTAGGTTGGATAATTTAAATTTATCATATGATAAATACGATATTAAGATCAATGTAACTGATAAGTGTATAATGTCATACAATTATTGTAATATTAAGCGTTGACATTTTTAACACAACACTGAAAATTTCGAAAACATGAAATTTTTTCAACAAGGAATTATTTTAGTTGAAAGGTCTTATATTTATAATATGTATACATATATGAGATATTTTATTTTAATCAGATTATCGTTATCAATGATTAATTAATCATGATTAACTTGGTCATTTCCTTACGGGTCTTTACTTTTTATGTTTGGATAATTCATATTATTCATATTCATTATATATACATATATATAAATATATTAGGTCAATTTAACACCCATTTAATATTTTATTTTTATAATTAGTACGTACGTACGATTATTCAATATCAAAAATAAATGAACTATATATAATTAATATATTCAAAATTATTTCTGTGATATCGTTAAACGTCGTTTTCTTTTAC